ATTTGTCTCTCTCTGCCTGACTCATTTTGCTTAGCATAATGGCCCCCTAGTTCCCTCCATGTTGTTGCAAATAGCAAGACTTCATTCTTTTTGATCACCAAGTGATATTTCATCATATATATGTATATATATGTATATATATACATATATATACATATACATACATATATATGTATATATATGTATATACATATATATACATACATACACACCACACCTTCTTTATCCATTCATCAGTCGATTAACATTGGGCTCTTTCCATAATTTGGCTATTGCCAATAGTGCTGCTCTAAACATTGGGGTGCATGTGCCCCTTGGAATCAGCATTTTTGTAACCTTTGGATAAATACCTAGTAGTGCTTTTTCTGGGTTGAAGGGTAGTTCTATTTTTAGTTTTTTGAGGAACCTCCATACCGTTTTCCAGAGTGGCTGCACCAGTTTGCATTCCCACCAACAGTGCAAAAGTGTTCCCCTTTCTGTGAATTCTTGCCAACATCTGTTGTTTCCTGAGTTGTTCATTTTAGCCACTCTGACCTGCGTGAGATGGTATCTCATTGTGGTTTTGATTCGTATTTCCCTGATGATGAGTGGTATTGAGTGTCTTTTCATGTGTCTGTTAGCCATCTAGATGTCTTCTTTGGAAAAGTGTCTACTCACATCTTTTGCCCATTTCTTTGCTAGATAGATTATTTGCTTTTTGGGTGTTGAGTTTGATAAGTTCTTTATAGATTTTGGATACTAACCCTTTATCTGATATGTCATTTACAAATCTCTTCTCCCATTCCATTGGCTGCCTTTTAGTTTTGCTGATTGTTTCCTTTGCTGTGCAGAAACTTTATATTTTGATGAAGTTCCAATGGTTCATTTCTGCTTTTGTTTCCCTTGCCTCCAGAGACGTGTCAAGTAAGAAGTTGCTATAGCCGAAGTTCCTCTTAACAAATTTCAAGCTGAGGCTGCAAAACAAAACCCAAAAAAAAAAAAGTTCCATTTCCCTAATGGAGCTCCATTTTGTGACCCTTAGCAATCATAACTCCATTTTATAACTCTGTTCACATCTCCTCCTTTTGATCAAGATCTTTCTTCAGAAAGCATTGATGATCAATAAATTTTCAAAAACATTGATGAATAATTTTATGTTTTGGGTCCTTCATCGCAGGAAGGTTCATTTCTGGTATGTCATGTCCCACTGAGGAGAGAAACAGGTGTAGGCAGGAGTTGTTGACCTAAGGACAATGGCTACATTTGAGCAACAGGGAGCCTCAGGGAAATGGATCTTGGGCATTGTCCTTTGTCATATCTGTCAGTTGAGGAAAGATGTCAGGAAGGAAGGTTTGGTCAATCATTTCTAGTCTCTGAGCTATCGTCACAACATTTTAGGAAGAAACAACAAAAAGAAATAAGAAATGCTGGGAATGCAAGCTGGTGCAGCCACTCTGGCTGCTATTTTGTCTATAGCTTATCACTTGGAAAAATTATCAAAAGGCTTTGTTCAACCTACTTTTTAAATTCATTCCCTTGCCTGACCCTCACTTACAAGCATGTGGACAAGTTGATAAAGGTTGGAATAGCCAGGCTCCTAGGTCTGACTGACTACATGGAATTCTTTCACAAATCTTAGCAGGTCTTCAAAGGCACTGGGAAAGTCCTCGGTAATGGCTTACAGTTCTGTCTTAGTCCGAGGAGCGTAAGGAACTGATGAAGTCTCGGAGCCTCCTTCCTTAGATCTAACTGGGAAAGGATGCCTGCAGGATCTACATGAACGCCCAGGCTGTCATTATAGAAGGGCAGTCCAACTCATCTAGGATGTGTACATGGAGAGTAGGAGACAGAGGGTGGGAAGAAGGGGTGGGGAAGGGGTGGGAACAGCAGGGGTGGGGGCAGAACAGAGGAGGAGGGGCAAGGGGTTGAGAGGCATCAGCTATTTCTTCTATTCTTGAGAGCCTCTTAGAAGGGTCTGAATTAACTGCTGAGAATGTAGACTTAGCTCCTGAAGGGAAGCAAACTTTCCAGTGTTTCTTTTGGAATCTCCATTTAAAATAAGCCCCCCACTCATTTTGTTCGGTTGTATAACTCCTTTTCAGTTTATGCATGCAAGTAACCTCAGTTTGGACTATCAGAAGTGCCCCATGTTGGCCAATAAGGCTTTAAATCATCGTGGGGAATGCGAGTCTAACAGGCAAACATTTTTCAGCAAGAAGAGCCGTCTTCCTTACACATAAATCCTGCAGGAGCTCCGGCAGGGGGCTGGTTATCAAGAGTCCCCTTAGGAGAATGATCTCCCCAAACAGAGTATTCATCAACAAGCTGAAACCCAACTCTTCCACTCAAAATGAGTGAAAACAGAATCCTCTCTTCAGAAATGAGAGAGGACAGAAGCCAGCAGCAGAGGACACCCAAACAAGGGAGGTTTGGGCCCAGGAGGACTTACCACCAAGAACAAGGTTGCCAGGGGAGACGGTGGAAAACAATGGCATCCTGCAGGTACTTCACAGGTGCCCACTGCGGCTTGGAACAGAAGGCAGTTGCTCCGGACTCCACTTCTCTGACACCATGGAATGTCAACGGATCTCAGACTGTGTCTGTAAAAACAAGCAATGCATTTATTTGGGGTCTTGGGGATTGCGGTTTGGAAGATAGATTCGAGAGGGATCAAACAACTGGGGGAAGAAATTAGGAGTTTCTAAAGGCAAAAACCACAAGTTGTTTTAAAAGAATAATGATTGATTCTGACAACATGTGAGCTATCTGATACACAGAAATGTTCCAGAAATGGTTCTGTGGTTAAGGCCCAGGTTCTAGAGTTCAGTCTCCATCCAGGGGCAGACATGCACAAACTCCATTTTCCTAAAGATCTCCCAGCTCCCTTTTGGGACCCCCAGCAATTCTCCAAGTCCATCTCGGGACTCCCTGTTCACACTCATCTCAACATGGAGCTTTCCCAGGACTAAATGAACTGTGTCTGGGGATAAATTTGCTTTGCAGGAGCGGCTGGAGAACCCCCACTCTATGACGTGTATCGGGAGGGTGGGACAGTTTCCAGTGAAAGGTAGAAAGAAACAGGGACTTGGCAGACAGCACCAACAGGAGCCTCACCCCCAGTTTCAGCACTTTTCTCGTCTCCCTGTTATCACAGACACCCTGAGCACAGAAAGTGACGTGGGCCAGGATGAGGGATGCCAAGCCTGGTGCCGTGGGCGCCTCCAGCACTGGACAGGGCCCTGAGCAGCTACGAGAGTCACGTCTGCTGAGTAAGGACACTTTAGACGACTACCGTAGAGGGCATTAAAAATACTGTCATTAAGGCCTAACGTGTTCTGTCTGAAGTCTCAAGATGCTAGCACATACACTTTCTCCGTTCTAATGAACAAGGAAGAGGTTACAAGCTCTTACTGCCATTGGCCATTCTCAGGAAGGGTATGCAAAAAACAAAGCAGAGAAGAACTGGTAAAACACAGCCTCTCAGACAACAGTGGCAGATTTGGGTCAAAACTCCAGCTCGGAGAGATGCAGAATTTTATGCCACGAAAGGGAGGCTTTCTATTTCCAGATGAGCAAACGAAGGCACAGATCTGGGGCAAGAGTGTGGCAAGGTCCCGCAGCCAACTTCCCCAGGCCTCCCTGGCTCCAGGGTCCACGGACCCTACGTGCCTGGCACTCCACACTCCCAGCTCTGCACAAGGCCACGCGGAGCCTGAGACAAGAGTTAGCACATCGGTGAAACTACTTTTCCTCGGCCTCTTCTCAGTTTCCAGACAGACCAAAGAAAGCAATTCTGGTTTTGTTTTCCCCAAGCAGGAACTCTGCTCACCAGTTTCACTTTCCACTTTCAGTTTCTATCTCGGTTTCCAGTCTAAATTGTCAACAACACGCCCACAGGTTACGTCATGAACTGTTCATCTTTCTTATATTGCCCAGGATGTGGCTCACATCCTGAAACCCCAGTCTCCTGGCTGGATCTCAGAAGAGCCCACAGCTAAACAAGGCCCTGCAGAACTGGCAGCCATGAGGTAAGGACTTCTCCGCTTCTCTGCCTGTCAGTCTGAAGTTCTGGGAAAAAAGGCTAATCAATACTATCCCAAAAGACTTGATTTCAGTGATGTCGAGTTTCCTTACTCTTCCAGGTGAGCGTCTGCTTGGAGACTGAGTGTCCTTAATTCAGGCTTTTTCTTTTCTTTTTTTTTTTTCTTTTTTCTTTTTTTTTTTTTTTTGTAGCATCACCCCGAGGAAGCTTACCTCATAACAAAGCCCAAAGAAGCAGAGGGATGTGGGAAAAGAGTTTTGCAGGGAGGGAGAAAATGATCCACGTCTCTGAAATTCTCTTCCCCAAACTCCCTTCTGTCTGACCGAGGGAGGGAATGGACAGTTTGTCTGGAAAGGGACACTGCTTTCTGCTGGCTCCTCACCTGGGGAAAAGGACCCCCACAGCCGTGTGAGCCACAGTCCTGGGCTCTCCCCAGATGTCTTGAGGAAAATATTGTGGGCAAATGGTGGCAGAAGCTCACTGTCTAGGGAACAAGGCCCTCCTCTGTAGACTACTGGTCTCACTCTCTGTGCTGCTGGGCTCCTGTGTCAGGCCTTCTCAACGTCCCTGCATTTAAGATTAGCAGATGACCCTCTCCCCTGGGGAAGCCTCTGGTCTGCAGATACCCTCCTATCGGTGGGGCTGACTGCAGTTGTGGCCTCATGTGGGAATTTCTATGCTGTCCAAACTGAATCTTGAGTTAAGTAACCCTTAATATCAACGGATTTTTAAAAAATTAATTGATGTTGACTTGCAAATTTCCCCTCGGTGCTCCAGTGGGCAAAATTTTCAAGGGGCAAAAGTTCCAGAAAGTGCATAATTACAGGCCTATGATCAACCCTCCTCCCAGGTCCATTGACAGAGGGGGTTGTCACTGACAGGGAAAATAATAATGATAATAAAGTAGCTATCGCTTCCTGAATGCTTATAAAGTGCCAGCCTGGCTTCTAAAATTATTATGTAAATTATGGGGCACCTGGGTGGTTCAGTCAGTTAAGCATCCCACTCTTGGTTTTGGCTCAGGTCATGATCTCACAGCTTGGTGGGTTTGAGTCCCACGTCAGGCTCTGTGCTGACAATGCGAAGCCTGCTTGGGATTCTCTCCCCAACCCCCTCACTCTCTGCCCCTCCACCACTTGTGCTGTCTCTGTGTCTCTCAAAATAAAGAAACTTTAAACAATTTAAATTATGATGTAAATTATATTTAATTATTTAAAAAACCCTCAAAAGACACCTACGAAGCAGGTACTCATATCACCCTGATTTTGCAATAATGAATCTTAGATTTAGAAACATTAAGATCACACAGATAGTAAGTGATAGAGCTGGGACATGAGCCAGAGTCTCTATTCAGTGATACCCAATTTGACCTCTACACCCATGCTTCTTAAATTTTTTTTTTCAACGTTTATTTATTTTGGGGACAGAGAGAGACAGAGCATGAACGGGGGAGGGGCAGAGAGAGAGGAAGACACAGAATCGGAAACAGGCTCCAGGCTCTGAGCCATCAGCCCAGAGCCTGACGCGGGGCTCGAACTCACGGACCGCGAGATCGTGACCTGGCTGAAGTCGGACGCTTAACCGACTGCGCCACCCAGGCGCCCCTACACCCATGCTTCTTAAAGTGTACCAGTGGAAGGTTTGTGAGACTATTTCAGATGGCACTCCAATTGGTGTTTATGTTTTAATGTTTTGTTTATTTCAACATGTACTAACGAAAAATACATACATCATTTGAAGAATTTCTGTTCAGGTTACTAGTACAATGTTTCATTGTGATAAGATACATGTATGATAAAATTAGCCATTTTAACTATTTTTTGAGTATGCAATTTTGTGGTATTTAGTGCATTCACAGTGATGTCCACCCATCACCAGTATCCACTTCAAGAACATCTTCCTCACCTGAGGGGAAATCCCGTACCCCTTAAGCAGTCACTCTCCACTCATCCTTCGCCCCAGGCCCTGGCAACCATTAATCTGCTTTCTCTCTATGTCTTTGCCCCCTGTGGATATTTCTTTCTTTTTTTTTTGTAAGATTTAAAATTTTTTAATGTTTATTTATTTGGGGTGGGGGGGAGAGCACGGGGGGAGGAGCAGAGAGAGAGAGGGAGACACAGAATCCAAAGCAGACTCCAGGCTCTGAGCTGTCAGCACAGAGCCCTATGCGGGGCTCGAACCCGCGAACAGGGAGATCATGACCTGAGCAGAAGTCAGATGCTTAACTCACTGAGGCACCCAGGCACCCCCCCATTGTGGATATTTCACAAACAAAGAAGCATACAATAAGTGGCTCTTTGTGACTGCCTTATTTCACTTAGCACAATGTCTTCAAGGTTTACCCATGTTGTAGCAGGTGACAGAATATCCTTCCCTTTTAAGGCTGAATAATACACCACTGTATGTATTTACCACTTGGTTTAGCGGTTCATCCGTCTATGGACATTTAGGATGCTTCCACCTTTTGACTATTGTGAACAATGCCTGCTAGGAATAGAAGTATGCAAATCGTCTGTTTGAGTCTCTGCTTTTACTTATTTTGGGTACATACCCAGAAGTGATAGTGCTGAATCACATGGCCGTTCTGTTTCATTTTCTGAGGAATCATCACCATTTTCCACAGCAACTGTCCCATTTTACATTCCCACTGGTAATTCCTCCACATCCTCGCCAACACGTGGTTTTTGTTTTCTGTTTTGTTGAGGGTAGCCATCCTAACGGGTGTGAAGTGGTGTCTTGTGTTTTCGATTTGCATCTCACTAATGATGGGCGATATTGAGCATCTTTTCATGTGCTTCCTGGCCATCTGTGTGTCTTCTTTGGAGAAATATCTGTTTTAAGTCCTTTGGCCATTTTGTAGTCACCTGTTTTGTTGTTGTTGTTGAGTCATGAGAGTTGTTGATATAGTCTGGATATTAATCTCTTATCAGATATGTGATTTGCACATAATCTCTCCCATTTTAGGAGTTGCCTTTTCATTCTGTCAGTAGTGCCCTTTGATGCAGAAACGTTTCTAATTTTGACGAAAATCCAATTTACCTCTGTTTACTTATGTTGCCTATGCTTTCAGTGTCCTATCCAAGACTGCCAAATCCAATGTCATAAAGTTTTTTCCTATTTTCTTCTAAGATTTTTGTAATTTTGATCCATCTTGAGTTCATTTTTTTATATGTATATAGTGTAAGATAAGGGCCCACTTTCATTCTTTTGCAAGTGGATATCCAGCTCTGCTGGCACCATTTGTTGCAACATGTTTCCCCATTAAATGGTCTTGGTACGTGTTTCAAAACTCATTTGGCCATTGTTATGACCATTGTTATGGCCATGTTATGGAACTGTGAACCCCTACCATCTCCCCAGGTTTATATGTTGAAGCCCGGGCCCCCAGTGTGACTGTATCTAGAGATAGGGCCTGTAAGGAAGTACTAAGGGTTAAATAAGGCCATAAGAGTGGGCCCTTAATCTGAAAGGGCTGATATCCTTGACAGAAGAAGTGCATGTAGACGAAAGGTCACATGTGGACTCCAGTAACAGAGCCCTTCTCAGGAAACAAATCAGTGGGCACCTTGATTTGGGACTCCCAGCCTCCAAAACTGGGAGAAAAGAAATATCTGCAATATCTGTTGGTTAAGCCACCCCGTCTGTGGTACCTCATCATGACAGCCTGAAATGACCATGGCAACCATATATGTAAGTGTTTATTTCTGGGCCCTCCATTTTGTTCCACTGCTCTAGGTGTCTGTTTTTATGCCCATCCCACACTGTTTTGATTGGGGTAGCTTTGTAGTAAGTTTTGAAATCCGAAAGTGTGAGACCTCCAAGTTTGTTCTTTTTCAAGTTCATTTTGGTTATTCGAGATCTCTTGAGATTCCATATGAATTTTAGGATGGATTTTTCTATTTCTGTAAAAAACATGTCATTGGGATTTTGATAGGGATTGCACTGAATCTGTAGATTGCTTTCGGTGGTACTGACATCTGAACAACATTAAAGCTTCCAGGCTGTGAACACAGGATGCCTCTTCCTTTCTTTGTGTCTTCTTAATTTCTTTCAGCAATCTTTTGTAATTTTCAGTGGACAAGTCTTTCGCCTCTTTGGTTGACTTTATTCCTAAGTATTTGATTCTTTATGATACTATTGAAAAAGGACTGTTTTCTTTTTTTTTTAATTTTTAATTGTTTTATTTTATTTTTGAGAGAAAGAGAAACAGAGTATGAGAGGGAGAAGGGCAGAGAGAGAGGGAGACACAGAATCCAAAGCAGGCTCCAGGCTCCCAGCTGTCAGCACAGAGCCTGACGCGGGGCCTGAACCCATGAACCATGAGATTGTGACCTGAGCCGGAATCAGACACTCAACTGACTGAGTCACCCAGGCACCCCAGGAAAAGAACTTTCAACCCAAAATCCTATGCCCCACAAAAATATCCTTCTAGAATGAAGATTAAATCAAGACGTTCTCAGATGAGGTGCGTCTTGCCGGCTCAGTCAGTGGGGTGTGTGACTTTTCACCTCAGGGTTGGGAGTTCTAGCCCCACACTGGGTGTAGAGATTACTTAAAAAGAAAATCTTTTAAAGTGAAAGTGAAAAAGGTGAGTAAAAAAAAGGCAGTCTCAAAATGCTGTATAACTCCATCATATGACATTCTCGAAGTGACAGAGTGATAGAGATGAAACAAATTACCAGAGGCTAGGGATGTTTGGAGAGTGGGGAGCGAACAGGTGTCACTGAAGGGACAGTGTGCGGGAGATATTTGCGATGATAAAATAGTTCTGTATCTTGATTGGGCGCGTGGATTTACTCACGTGATGAAATGACACAGGACTTACACACATTGTACCAATGTTGGTGTCTTCATTTTGTTATTGTATGGTACTTGTGTAAGGTATTGGAAGAAACCAGGCGAAGGGTACACTGGAGCTCCGTACTCTCTTTGCAAATTTCAGTGATTCTCTAATTATTTCCAAATTATAAGTGGAAAAAAAAATTGGTCGAACAAATATTCTCTTTCAGGTGGTCTAAATTTGTGGCATAACCTACAGACTAAGGTCCTGAAGTGAATACTGTTTTATAAGCCTCTACGTTTCTTTCTTTTTTCTTTCTTTTTTTTTTCTTTCTTTTGAGAGAGAGTGTGTAAGCGGGGGAGGCACAGAGAGGGGGACAGAGGATCGAAAGCAGGCTCTGCGCCGACAGCAGCAAGCTCAATTCAGGACTCAAACTCACAAACTGCGAGATCATGACCTGAGCCAAAGTCGGATGCTCAACTGACTGAGCCACCCAGGCTCTATGTTTCTAACTGGTTTCTGTCCTGAATGTAGGAATAGGAAAATAGGAAACTCTCATTATAGCATGTAATATGTGCTCTAAGTACTTAACACACATACAGGCTTATTAATTTTCACCCAACTTCAGACTCAAGTGTGCTGAGTCTATTCCTATCCCCATTTTACAAACGAGACTCTGAAACAGAGAGAGGTTACTTGGTAAAAAGTGGCGGAGCCAGTGTCTGAGACCAAGCAAACTGCATTCAAAGTCTGTGCGGATCTTAGGAACGTAGGGATTCTAAGGAAAATCAAAGCAGGCGTGCCCTTTCCAAGGCTAAGTCCTAAAGATGAGCTGTTTTATCTGGCTTCTTTCTATCGACCGTTCCTCCCTTAACAAAGAAAACTTGTTTTTCTCTTTTGCAGTAAGAACGCTGATGAGGTCAAAGGTAAGCTGCTTCAGCTGAGATGCCACTTCACCTGGGAGCTGCTAGTTGAAGACACTGAGATGCCCGATTTAGAGAACAGGATCTTGGATGAGATTGAGTTCCTAGACACCAAATACAACTCGGGCATACACAACCTGCTGGCCTACGTCC